GATGTATTTTCATATAAATTACTTATACTTATGTTTCAAAATGTACTAATTATTTTTGTATTTTATGAATATTAAAATAAAAAATACTTAAATCAAACCTTTATATTAAATATGTTCATGGTATAAATTATTATTATATATGTAATTTATTCAACAATTTTAGTAAATCACTGCCCTTTCAAAACATCACTTCGGTAAAATACGTCGGACAGAATTAATATATGTCAGTCATTTTTCTAAACTATTTATTTTGAAAGTGGCTTAAGTCACTTTACCGTAATGAAAAGTGGTGATTTTTTAATGTTTATACGAAATTATTTATACTGAGAAAAATATCAGTACCCTGAGATAACAAATACAAGTAAATCTTCTCGAAAGTTAGTATCCATATTTTTAAACGTGTTAAAACGTAAACCCTTAAATATATCGACTTAAAAACAAAGTGACTTATGCCACTTTCAAAATAAACGGCTTATGAGCATAGTATAATATGTATATTCACACACACACACACACACAAATAATATTACGGTGGTCGAATTTATTCTTTAGGCTTATTTCCTGCAAATATGTGACACTCGGTCAATTTGACCAAACTGAGCAGACATGAATGTTTAGATAATCAATTCTCATGTGATAATATTAATCTCTTCAAATATTTTACTTTATTTAGTTAAAGAAGGAGAATTTACTGCCTGCTTGAAGATTTCACACAATTTCAATTTTATGCAATTTTAATTTTACGAAATTTCGTCCAAGATCTTTATGGTACAAGCAATAAATCAAGGTAAGATTATCCGAAGCAGTTTTGCAATTATTCAACAGAAGGATAAACAAAATTGTGGACGCGAGTTGAAAAGTGGGTATCTGGTTATTCGCACAAAGATTAAATATTTACTGATCGTGTAACCGTTCGACTACTTAATTACTTTTTCCCGCAGAGATAACTGTATGAAAATCCAAACAATTTAATTGAATATAAACCAGTGTGTTCTATGTATATAGTACTGATTTTTATTTAGTAGTTCTTATTGTTAATCGAAGTTTTCTTTACTTTTTAACAATGAATTTTGCTTTCACTTGGAAAATATTTGTTACTGTCGTAGTCATCTGTTCGTTCGTACAATTAATTCTTAGTTCGAAGAATTCTTAAGGGTCGTGATTAATGAAGATGAGAAATTTCTGGAGAGACTTACGTTGATTGCCTTTTTTCCTGTTCCGTTTTACCGATGAGAAACATAGTTGAAAATGAAACGATTACCTTAGGCTTTAATGAGTTCGGTATAACAAACTGTACATTAGAAATTGTTCGAATTTAAAATTTACTCGCGTTATCTCGAAATGTTAGTCGTTTTATCTACACGATGAATATTGTATTAAATATTTGTTAACAGATTTAATTCGTTTATACTCGTAACACAAGTACAACCCCAGACGAGTTATTTTTCTAACCATGTATTATTCACAACTGCATTCGAGTAAAATAAAATTGTGTCGCAACGACCAATGCTAATGGATAAGCAACGCTAATGATAATGAAACTGAATATCTGACATCGTTTAAAGGATTCATAGGAGGATTTCAAGAAGATGAAGTAAGAATGTCGGTGATACGAGATCGTGCCGGAATTTGTCCCCATAAGTAATGTCTGAAACTCGATAAAATTCCCATATACCGAGTATATAGGGTGACCCCGAAAGGTATGTACGAGCGGGCACCGAGTGATCCCTCATAAAAAGAAACATGAAAAAAATATAGAATATGAATATAGGGACTTAGTTTTTTTTCGACAAAATCGAGTTTAAACATTCTCTTTGTACGTACGTACTTACGGCTGAAATACGTTTCATTGAGGGACGTATGTACATATATCGCCTGCAGCCGCAAGAACGTATGTATTATACAAAGCGAATGTTCAAACTCGATTTTCTCGAAACTAAGACACTCTATATACATATATTGTAATAGTACATACGGAGCTGTCAACTAAATGCTTTCATGCGATAGTTCTGCAAATATTGTATTACGTAACTTGAAAGAAGAATTTATGATAAAACTCCAACGCTGTTTATCTTTGTAGAATTATCTTTCGAAAAGATTATATATAATATTGTAACATAATAAATATATATATAATAATATATATAAGATATCATTATTAATTAATAATAATAATAATAATTAATAATTAATATATCATTATCATTATCATTGATTATCATTAACAGGTCATACAAATTCGTCATATATAAGAAACTTTGTCTTCTAAATTCATATGAGGCATTCGGTGCAAAAACAACTTAACTCGAGTAAAAATCTGCAATGTATAAGTATATGAAGTTCTGAAATATGCGTTCACGACTTTATGCTACCGAGCACTGTTTATGAGTACTGAATACTGAGTACAAAGATAACTAATGCGACGCATTTAAGTGGCCTCAATAAGTAAGCATTTCATTTGTCTTTCTTTGCTTTTACACCTGAGCCCGATTAAATTGTTTTTGCATCCAGTGTCTCATATGAAGCATCATTAAGCTTTTATAATGTTGTTAATTAAAGTACAATAAACTACAGATAAAAGTACTTGCATTTTTTTGTGGAGATTTTTTATTACAATTGTTAGTTTTACTGCAGTACATCTTCATATAACAGTAAACTACACATCATTAAATATTTAAGTCATAAAAACAAGAATAAAAAATGTGTATAAAATATACAAAGATACTGCTATTATATAGTGATGCTTTATTCTTTATGTTTCTATGAAATGTGATGCAGAAGGAAATTTTTTGTATAAAATGACGTTTTGTACTTTTGTAAGTAACTTTACAGAGGCAAGGAAGCCGTCGTATATACAAAGTTTGTTTTTTTATTATATTTGAAATGTAATATTCAGAGGTATAAGT